CAGCTGTTTCTAATCACCTCACTCACTATATAACACCCACTCTAACCACCTTTCTCTGCTGAGTATTGTTTAGCCCGTACCCCATTCCGAGTCTCTGAGTTTTCCTTGTTTTGCCTTGCCTTGCCTGTTTCCGCGGTTTCTGATCTTTGCCTGTATTCCTGGATTTTTCCCTCTCGTACCACTTCTCTTTAATAAAGCCTGCAGATGGATCCACACGTCTCACGTCTCGTCAGCCCCGTTACAGTAGGCCTACATCATAAATGTTAGTTTAGTTTATGTAGACAAATCACTAGAGAATTTGAATATTTGCCATGTATCAATTGTTGGCCATAACATGAAAATGATTATCAGCTCAATATTATCATTAGTTGGTTCTTAGAAAGTTAGGACACTGATAAAAATATAAATAAATTAAAAAAAAATGTTGATTTTGCATTTAAGCTGTTTGGTTGAAATGATGTTTCTCTGAGTGAAACAAAACCATCCTTTTCAGAGAAAATGCTGAAAATTATCAGGATGTAATTGTTTTAGTTATATCACCCGGCTCTAACCGTATACGCCCTTGAAAACCATAATCAGAATAAAAATAAGATTAAACTCTTTTAAGAACCCATCAGGGCTGCAGTGGTCCCCAGCAGGGACTGAAACCGTTTGAATTTGATATTTTAGTTGCTAAAAGCCTGCTTTTGGTGATTCTTTGCTTTTCAGGCATGTGTGTTGAATTCTGGCATACTCTCAATGGTTTTCAGGTTCACAGGGCCTGTGCATATGGATTAATATGATGATTATGATCCCAGAACCAGGGCAAACATTCTCCTCGCACCCCTAGTGGGGACAAGCCGAGTGTAATCCAATAAATAACACTGTGAAAATCGAAGCAGTCAGCAACATCTAAAATAAACCACCAAACACAGGTGAGAAAGACCAACAGACACTGAACAAAATTGAATTCCTGCTTGATTAAACGTGAAATGTTTTTTTTTTTTTTTTTACAGCATTCGTTGAAGAAGATAAATGCAAGTCGATTTCATATTTCCTCTCGGTTTTTCATTCAAACTTGTCATTTTCTTCCTCGCCAGTGACTTGTCACCTACACATTTGTCTGCGTACATTTACATATGACCTATTTTATGTTTGATAATGAAAGCAAAGTGAGTGTGTGAGCATGTGTGAGTGATGGTGCTGGTGTGTGAAGTTGTGAATATGTGTAAGCGTGTGTGTGATGCTCAGGCAGTGTCTGGTCCTGTTCTGTTGTTAACAAAGAGCATTTAATTAGGAGTCTGTTTATCTCTCTCCTCCACTCTCTCATTCCTCTGTTGTAATGTTGGGAAGGGTGTGAAAACAAGCTAAAAATAGAAGCCCGAAGGAGGAAAGTCACAGAGGCACATTAATTGTGCCGGTTAAAAGCGGCATACAAAATATAGATTTAGAAAAACGAAGGAGAATAGAGGAGGAGAAAAAAACATTCTTTAACATCCTTTAACTTCGTCATTCTTCCTGATGGAGAGCCACTAAAGCAAAGAAAGATTTTTTTTTTTTTATATCTCCGAGCACCTTTCTGACCTACTTTCCTCTTTTGTTGTTCTCCTGCGAGTCTGTGTACTTCTGCTTGACATTTTTGAAAAGGAAACTCAAACCAGCTTTCCACAGCCTCAGTGTAACTCACTTCCTCTCTGATGAAGTCAAGGAGTCGGGAAAACAAGGCGAGTTTAACTGAGAACTAGACTGAGTGTTATTCTCAGGGGTGGCTCTGCTTTTACACGCTGGAATGGAGTGTTATGGAAGCCTGATTTCACCTCAATGTAAAAAAATGTAAAAATGTAATTATGAGGTAAAGTTTAAAATTAGAAGATTAAAAAATTAAAATTAGCACTGTGAGATAAAGCCACTTTTAGAGATATGAAGTTGGAAGATACAAAGTCACAGTTTGTGATATTTTAAGTCACAATAATGAGAAACAGTCACAGCTGGGAGATTTAAAGTTTTTTTTTAACTAAAAAGTAAAATAATTAAAAAACATCTTCATAACTAAACATTAACTGAAATAAAATATTACAAATGTAAATATTTTGTTTAAACTAGTTGCCAAAGCAGCAACATTTCAAGTAAATATATAAATACTAATAAAAAATACAAAACACAATAAAATTACTGAAACTTTAACTGAAATTACAATGAAAGATATACAAATAAAACCTAATTCAAACTACTGATAAACTATTATAGTATATTAATGATACTAAAGTAACTTTAACTTAATTAACATGAACTAAAATAACACATTAAAAAAGTATAGACATTATATTTCATCTAGTTGCCAATGCAACATTTCTGTTCATTTTTGTTTAGTTTAAGTTGATGAACTAAGATAACAACAATTAAAATAAATAAATAAATAAAAAGTATACTGACATATTAAAAAAAATAATAAAAAAGACTAATAAAAACAATAAATAAAACAATAAAATTACTAAAACTTTAACTAAAATTATAATGCAATATATACAAATAAAACCTAATTCAAAAATTGACAAACTATAATAGTATATTAATGATACTAAAGTACCACATTTATTTATTGATATATTGATTTTTGGAGTTTTAGAGCTCTTCAGTTGTTTGTAGTTTGAACAGCAAAAACCCACTAAGATTTTAGCTAATCTGATTAAAATCTGATTTTTAAAATGCATTTCATTCATTCATTACTATGGCAACCAAGAAGATATTGTCTACACCACATTTACAAAATGACAAAATCCTAACATTTGGATTTGGGAATTGGGTGCAGTATGAACATAATGAGAAATTGAATGTTTCATGTAACTATCGGCTTTCTCGCCGATGTTTTCCCTTAATATCCCTAAATGATGTAAAAACAGAAACATGTTTGATTTCATATTGGATTCTCTGACTTTTGATTGTAGACTTGGGTATCTTGGCAAATCTGGGCACCGTTTGAGACACTGAAATCTATTTTGAAACTGTAAAGGAGTCTTTTTATCAGGAAAAAGCATGAGTTTCAATTTTTATCTCCATTTAATCATTTCTGTCTTGAAGAAACAATTGAGTCTATGACGGTCTGTTTCTCAGTACATGTCTGTCTTAGAGAATAAGAGCGATGTGAAAGGAGATCTTCTGATGTTCTGTCCTGTGGGAGACGCCATTGACAGGGCAAACGGTGTCTCTGACTGATTCCAGACTGATAGCCGAGCAAATGTGAGAAAGATCTGCTTCAATCCATCTATTCTTGACAGAGGAGTCTGAATTGACTTGTGTGGATGTGTGGAGTGGACAAAAAAGTTGTGAAGTGACAGGACTCAAAAGTTTCAGTCAGTGAAATGTTGGCCAGCACTGGTTTCTTTAGGCTAGAGGCTTGTACTTTCTTCATTTTGAGTTTGGTTTTGATTTGTGGCCCGTCGGCTTTGCTTCACTCAAATGGAGGGTTTGAAAGTGAAGACGCAGTCGTGGCCGAGGACTGCCTGTTACCAAGAAGAATTATTCATAAACAGTCCCACTAATGAGCTCTGTATAAGAGCACAGACTACGATTCAAACAGAATGGTAGCTGGGAGGTTTGACTGAATGCGAGTGATAAACTAACATCTCCACCCCTCAGAGACCCTTCAGAAAGCAATTACAAGAGCTCAGGCACTTCATAACCAGTCAAAACAACCTGTATGTGTCTGTATGTCAAATCATCAGTTCCCCCTGGGATCATTAAGGTGTTTTATGGTATATTCAGAACTGCCAGAAAAGACTAAAAAACCCTGGAACTATACATCTCCTGGTTTATAGCCTCTCCAAGTTGTCTATCTGCTTTCTAAAGAGCTTGTGTTAATCATGGCTTAATTCAGAGTCTATGAAGACATTACTGTAGATGGCTGCTGTGCCGGTCATTTGCCTTTTGGGGGAATGGAACATTAACATTCTGTCTCTGAGGAGTGAAAACAACAGAAAAATCAAAGCTCAGTGCCTGTAATCTCCACTGTCCTCATTTAGCATTTCACCGAAGACAAAAATGTCTCTCTTGAGGTTAATCAACTTCAGTAGATTATCCGAAAGAAAACAAAATTGCTTAGTGGTTTTTTTTTTTTTATAGATCAGTTGTTGTCAATTATAACAAGTTGTGATATAGTAAGAGTATAAAATTAACGTTGACAGCATAATTCAGATATTTTGATTAGATATATTTGAGTTTATTTTTAGATCTCTGACTTTAGTATCTTGGCAAACCTAAGCACAAATTTAGACAATTTTCAGATGAGGGTAAGGATTTTTCTCAAAGAGATAACTGAAGTCTCATCTTGCTTTCCACATAGTCTCATTGCTATCTAGGAGAAATGATTGAGAAGAGACTTTATTAGTGATTGTTCTACCTTAAGGAATATCACTTATCATTTAAGTACAGCTGTTTGGGACTTAAATTAAACATGCATGTAGTTCAAATGTATGATTTGTCATTTGTCATCAAAATATCAAACCACATGGCATTTAGTTTGCAAATTTTTTTCAACTGCTTACAGACATTTTCAAAACTTTGCCTCTTTTTATCCAAACACAAATCCAAGAATTGCACACACAAAATGCAAAATGCCTCACATCTCTTGCAAAATGAAGCACTGCATTCAAAATATCACAAACACATCTCAAAAGCAAACATCTGTAAACACCTTTGCCATAATATATTAATTCCTGTTAGATTTGTTTGTTACATAGAGAATTATGTGTTGTGTTTTGGAAAAAGTGTTTTATGAATTAGTGTATGGTTTTGCAGATTTGGTGTGTGGTTCTGGTGTTTGAGTGTCAGGTTTCGGGTTTCAGAAATTATGTGACAAGTAAAGATTTTGTGTGAAAAAAAAAACTGTAAAAAATATCACTTTTTAACTTATCACTTGTAAAACATTGCACAAAATACATGTTTTTTAGGCTTTACATTATCATTTGCAGATGCCACTTGACTTGGTATTTTAATTAAATGATGTTATGTGCTTTAGAAAATACCGGATTGTCTGGTCTCAGTCTTTTGGATGGTGGACCTCCATCTTCTGGGTGGAGCATGTAGAACAGACGCACTTTGTTGGCGTGTTTCTTGCTCTGTTGTGTGTGAGAAAGAGACAGAAAGACAGAGTGATATTAACAGATAATAATCCAAAGTGTTCTCACTTGATTTGGTATGAATGAAACATGTCTTTGTGCAAGGAAAAGACAGACACCCATTAAATATCCAATTCTGCAATACTTAATATAATGCACATTATCAACCATCCCATCTGCAATGCAAAGGATTATACTGGACAATTAATCAATTATGAAATAAACATGACATACTTTTCTTTTATAAAAGGAAGCATCCATTGATTTTGACGCATACTTTTGGTTCCTGCTGAAATTACTGAATTACTCTCAAAAGAAAGTTTGTGTTTGTATGGGACTTTTTTTGTGCAGAGCGTTTGAGGTTGCTTGTTCCCTCTAGCTGTTATTGATTTGTAGTGTCTGTGCAGTTCTGACAATCATCTTACATATACTATATACAGTATGCTCTGAGTTTTTTCGTTCTCTGTCAAACTTTGCAGTGCTTGCAAAGCTGGATTGTATTGATATTCTTAAAACATTCTGGTTAAAAAACTCCATTCAAACTTTGTAGACTTCAGCCGTAGCTGTTATCAAGTTTTGGGTTTGTACAGTAGATCAAAAGTTTGAGAGATTCTTTGACTTTTAAAAGGCGAAAGTGCACTTTTTACTACCACTTCTAGTTAGGTTTTTTTTTTTTTGATAAACTGTATTAATGTGACAATGTAGGCCTATTTACAAATAGCCAATCTTATATATCACATCTGCCTGTGATTCAGAGATAAACATGAGAAAAGCGATACGTTTTATTATTTTCATAAATTATTTTATTATCATTTTTTAATTAATTAATTTTTTTTTTTTACATTTTTATATTATTATTGTAAGGCCTCATGTCATAGACACTTACTTCTATTTTCCTCCTGAAATATAATTAGGCATATTATTCTTACCTCTCATTTTGCCTTGCCTAGAGGACAATTTAAGTAAAAAATGTTGCATTTAACCCCATTTTCTCGTGCTGATTCTTGTGTGCAGCCGACTGAAAAAAAGATGTCTGCTGAGTGTCATGACAACAGAATGCAGGATTGTATTTACTCTGAACCAACACACCAGCTTATACTGTTCTTTTGCTACTTTACAAGCTCTAATATTTACTTCCTATATGAAGGAGACAGACAGACAGACACAGACAGACAAATAGCATACACTACAGTATAAACAGTGTGTGTGTATGTATGTATGTATGTATGTATAAATATATATATATATATATATATATATTCTTTCTTTCTTTCTTTCTTATGTCATCTACATTGAATATTAACTGCTGTCTTCTGTTACTCCACCCAAACACTTTGATTATTTCACAGGAATCTGATGATAGTTTGGCAGTCGGTTGAACTTTAAAAAATGCATGTGACTACTTAGCTTTCAAAACATTTACAGCCACGCACATATCCAATAATCAAGGTGGGCCAGAAGAGCAAAGCCCCAGTGACCTTCTAAAAAAAAAAAAACCTAACATACCTGCTTCAAGACTTGTCCAGACTTGTCTTGAAGTACTGTCCAGGGTTCAGTCTATGTTGACTCTTTTTAAAAAAATTTCCTCACTTGTACTGCCGGTATCTCTGGAAACAATTTTCTACCTGCCCTGATCTGACCCTATATTATATGTATGAGATCAGGCCATATATGAAAGAATATGAGATGTAAAGTGCACCATGTTGGCAGACAGACTTTTTCCCATATCCTCTTTTTAATACAAAACTTAAGGCTGCTCTTCATTTTCAAGTTAGGCTGAGACAAAACGCTCCACTTCACACAGTGTTTATGCAGAGACGTTTCCTGAGCTCACTGAGAGAGGATATATTTCAAAACACTGCTTTTAAAATGTAATAGAAAAATGAAAGGCTTGCAGTATGACATTTCAGTTCTGTCTCTATAAAATCACAGAACATATTTACACAGTCAATTACAGAGATGTGCTTCTGCAAGCAGAAGTGTTTGCATTAGCAGAACATGTAAACTAAAGCATGGTTTTTGTTCCATTTTATAACACTGCACAACAAAATAGAGTAGGTTGATTTTTAAAAGTTGGATAATTTTTAACTCATCACAGCATCTTAAAAAAACACTACACTCAGGACACTCAAAAATGAGCTAAATGTGTGTGGCAGTGCTTTAAATTGGAAGAATTTCATAGCAAAACTATTTCCAAAAAAAGTGGACTATTCAACCTTGCTAATTGGTTGTTAGAGGTTTGGTTTGTCACCGCAACTCCTCTCTAATTAAAACTAACCATTTTAACCTGTATTTATGGCCTATGTTTGTTTTATGCTCATTTGAGTTTTGCACATTTGTAGTAACACATGCTAAAGGCAAACTCTATTGGAATCAGTTGTGAGGCAAATCTCCCATTTGTTTTCAGTGAGAAGATCTAGTTCTGCTGTGTATATAGAACGTCCATAAAGTCACTCACAAGGTTCTGTTTCAGGTAGCTGTCTATGTAGGTAGTATGCAGCAAGTCAGTTTACTAGGTTTTGGAGCACAGCCACATTTGCATAGATAAGCAATCAAACCTGGTATCACTGTGGGTTTAAGATGAATAGCTTGAATGTGTTTGTTTATTATAGTATTTATCAATATTTTCAATTAGCTTTTATATTTTCAGTTTTAGACATTTTGTTATGTGCTTTTATTATTTTTATTAGTTTGTTTTTTAATCTATTTATTTATTTATTTTGTTTTAGTTGTAGTTTTACAGTTCAATTTCAGTTTTAGTAATTCAACTTCAACTTATTTTATTTCAATTAGTAGTCAGAGTTTTTCATTTAATATTTATATTTGTTTCAGCTTTATTTCAGTTAACATAAACAGTTTTATAGTTTAGTAGTTTTAGTTGACAGTAACAACACTGGCAAGCATAAGGCTGGTTTTACACAGTTTCTAGTTTCTAGTTGGTCATCACTGAAAACTAAAACAAAACATAATGCAATGCATAATTAAATATATGGGTAAACCACCTGTAAAAAAAAAAAATCAATATGGAAAATCCCTTCATGTTAACACTGCAAATTAGGCCCTATTTTTAATGGCTTTTTTCTTAAGAGTGTAGATGGTAACCTGTTGTTTTTTTTTTCTACAAGGGATGTTCAAAACTAGATAACAAAATTGAGTAGTCAATGAATGACTAGTCACATATCAGCCTTAAGGAAACCATGCTTCCTTGCTTTAAACCAACCAAGAAGTTGGTTTAAAATGATTCTCTGTTGCTCCGTTTGTTATTTTCAGTTTGGTTTATTATTATTAGTGCTGTCAAATGATTAATCGCGATTAATCGCATCCAACATTAAAGTTTTTGTTTATGTAATATATGTGTGTGTACTGTGTATATTTATTATGTATATATAAATACACACACATACAGAATATATTTTGAAAATATTGACCTGTACTTACATGTATATATTGATATTTATATAATTTATATTATATATAAATATATTTAATATATAAATATAACATATTTTTCTTAAATATATACATGCATGTGTATGTATTTATATATACATAATAAATATACACAATACAAACACATATATTATTTAAACAAAAACTTTTATTTTGGATTCGATTAATCGCGATTAATCATTTGACAGCACTAATTATTATACTTCTAAGAAATGTAAAAACTGTCCTTCAATCTTTAAGGAATGTGTACTAGTTTAATTTAATCTAAAACATGATTTAATAATTTGGACAATCTTTCATTAAATAAACTGCAATGAGTTCATTAAAAGCATTGGCATCTGCAGAATGTTATTAGGCTTGGGATGACACACAATAGATTTCTAATATCATTTAAAAAGCAATAAATCCCCATGAAAACCAAGACATCCTCCTATGTCATCTATGATATTTTTTTATTCGTTGTTGAATTTATTTCAGAAGTAATGATATTTAACAGTAAAGGGAATTAATTTCAAGATGAAACTTCCCAGGTAGGTTTTAGTGTGCTGACAGTCAGTCAGAACACTAAATCCCTCTCCGAAATATAGCCTCGAAATGTATCCCCTTCAAAGCACCACGGCTGAAATATTAAAGCTCTATATTTTATATCACTATCATATATAAAAGCAGCCCTTTCCACAGATATCCCAAATATATCTGCCACAGTATAAATCGCATACTGTAGCAAGATTTCCACTTGTGGAAACATTTTTACCATCCCACAGTATGAGTGAGTTAAAGACTCTGATAGACTTGGAGGAGAGTGAAGGCTGGGCTCAGGGTGAGTTGAGTGAGATAGAGAGAGAGAGGAGAGTCTCTGTTGTCTCTGAAGCAGTCAGACTGGATTACACTGGTCCAGTGAAGAGCTCAGTGCTGAGAGCGGATGAAAGAGGCCATTGATACACTCAGAATGAGCTAAAGACCAGACACTGAGGGAGAGAGAGGGGCAACATTTGGTCTGGGAAAGATTTGATGGTTTATGAGGAGGCTGAGCAAATGATACAGCTATTAAAAATGTTGAGTTACGTGGTATTTGAACGATTTGAAATTTTGCAGAGCCAGTAGTGCAGAGCAGTATGACAGTACAGTATGTACATTTGGAGATAAAAATGTGTCTGAATGTGGTTGAGATTGTGCTGTACCGTTCATAACCAAACTTGTTGATGCCAAGGAGCTAAAACGATAATCCCCTTGCAATATAATGTCAACTATACAATTTCACATCAAAATACTGTGAGAAAATAAATAACCCCCATATTACATCTAATTGGCTTTTATCCTGTCATTTACAGATGACAAAGCAAATTATTAAAATATTACCTGAATAATATTTACCTTGTGTTTAAATTGACATCATATATTCTTCCTAGCCACTATATAAGTAATGTTAGATGCATAAATGTCTATTTGGTTACACCTTATTTTAAGGTGTCATTTTTACATTGTAATTATAAATTTAAGTACTGAGTAATATTAATTAACTACATACTTACTATATGATTAGGGTTAGG